ATAGGAATTCTTTTTGCCATATTAGGTCCTACAGACACAAAATATTTGTTAAATTCTTCCGTAATTTGTCTTTTATCATATAAAAATTCATTATTATGTTTAACCGTGTTTGGCAAAGAGTGAGATGTACATTTTTTGCTGCCAGTAATTTCTCTTATTATAAACCAAGTGCGTTTAAAATTTAATTTATATATATTTAGTAAATTTAAATAATAATTTTTTTTTTTGTTTTTTCTTGAGGCTTTCAAAAAGTTTAGCGTAATTTTTATATATAATTTTATTTTCATTTGTTTTAGATTTTAAGTAATTAATGTATAATTTTTGTTTAATTTTTGAAGACTTCCGCAAACCCTTTGTAATCCAAGGCGATTTAATACTTTTAGCTTTGAGATTTAAATTAACTTCAGGGAAATTAGTTTCATAAATATCATAGAAAGATTTAAAAAAGGAGTTATAAACTAAGTTTATATCATCAGAGGTGTTAATAATGCTCCAATCAATTAGAGATAATTGTTCCTTAAAAGATTTAAGGTTTTCATTTGTAAAAAATCGCTTTTTGAAAACTCGCTTTTCATTAGGAACTAATTTATTATCTATATTTATAGAAAAGAAAATAGGAAAATGATCAGATATGTCATTTTTAATTATGCCCTTTTTTAAGGATTCGTTAAAAACATCAGTGGTTAAAATATTGTCAATTAAAGAGGCACTTGATTGAGTAATTCTTGTCGGTTTGCTAATCAAGGGAATCGCACCATTTTCAAAAATGCCATTATAAAACCTTTTAATGTTATTATTGACGTGGTATTGAAAACAATCTAAATTCAGATCACCCACTAAGTAGATAAATTTATTTTCGTGGTTACTTTTTTTAATAACGTCATTACATAAAAACAAAATAAAATTTTTAATTTCACCTGAAGGTGGGCGATAACAACAACTTAGAATTTTATTTTTTATTTTATTGGTTAAAATTTCAATCGTTAAAACCTCTTTATCAGCATCAGAGATGCTCATGTCATGCCGGGTAAAATATCGTAAGTTATTTTTAACATAAATAAGAACGCCTCCGCCACGCTTATTTGTTTTTCGTGCTAATGAAATTACATTACAACCCGGAGGTTCAAAATTGGTAAAAAAATTTACGTCATCCGAACTGCACCATGTTTCTGTTAAGCAAATTATATTAAATAGATTACAAGTTTCTTCAATAAAATTACGAAAGATTTCAAAATTTTTTTTTAAACTGCGGATATTAATGTGAATTGTGTTAATATTATTTTGATTAAGAAATCCTTTAATTTCATGGGTATAAAAGTAGTTGCATTTATTTTGCAAAGCACCAGAATTAGAAAAGTTATTAAGATCAGGATCAGATTCATCATCTAATAAGAAATCATTTGTTTGAAAAAAATTATAAAAACTAGACTCAAAATTTAAGGTTTCGTTAGAATCCATTTTATTTTTGTTTTTTCATAATCGAAATAAGATCAAAGAATTTCTTTATAAATCCCGTGTGATTAATTTATTATATATAACTTTAGCGTACTTACCCTTTGCCCTTAAATCTTTTGCCTCATTCAGGAGTTTTTTTCGCAATTCCATCGTATGATCACTATAATCTTCATTTATGTAAACCTTTTGCGTCCACAATTTCATCGTCGTGTATTTTCTTAATATCGTGGCTTTGTCTTTGTAGTTAAGAAATCTGACTACGATCGATCTGTTTTTTTTATTGTTTTCAGGTAGTTTCTTTCCGACTCGATGTGCTCTTTCAATTTCAATTTTTCCGTGTAGCTGAAGTTTATTATTTAAAAATTCTCTTATTTTATTTTGACTGTCCTCCCAGCTTTCATTTTCAACTTCTTCAATCCCACAGAATCTTAAGTTGTTGCGTCGACTTCTGTCTTCAAGTTCAGCCAATTTGTTAATCATGTTAGAATTGCATATTCATTTATCAATGATGTTTTTGATGTTTGATGATCAGCAACTATTTTATCATAATTATTACTTACAAATTCAACAGCTTTATTAAGTTCGCCTAATTTATTATATCGTTCCTATCTTTGTATCCAATTCATGCAGAGTTGGATTATGGAAGCTTCTTTAGAAAGATCAATCAAAACCCCTATTTAGTATTTCTTAAACAAACGTCACGACAATGACTGGTTCCCCCCCCCCCCCCAACATTCTTGAACATTTTAAAGATTTAATTCTAGGTACAATACCTTGAGATTAAAAACTTATTCAAGAAATAGAGTGTTAAAAAAGTTACTAAATGACTTAGCCTTAATGTCAATTTATACAGAAATGGTTCCAGATAAAGAAAGGGTTTTTCAACATTTTCAGCTTCTGAAGCAACATTTTTTTAGCTTCTGGAGAGAGATGTTTAAAGTAAATATTTAAGCCTTAAATAATTGGCTATGATTGAATAATAACTATTATCTCTTATATTTGCAATTTTTTTTTTGTTAAAATGTTTTTAAAATTTTCTCTTAGAGCATCTTATTTATAATTTGTTTCAAATGTTTAATAAATAAATTTTTTTTCTATTTTGTGTATATTTCATCATCTTTGACATCTAAAATGTTAAATGTTTTAAAAAGTGTTCTAAACTAAATAATGTAAACCACTAAATAAAAAAATTAGCTATGTGTGTAAATTTAGTTACGCACATAGCTAATTTAATTGCTACTAAATTTAAATCTTTTTTTTTTAATATATATTTATATATAGTAGCATACAATTTCAAAGTAAATAACTTTTGAAAATATTACAATATTATTATATTGTTAATGCAGTAATAGTTGCAGTTATTCTATTAGTAACAAAATTATAAAGAAAAGAATCAGAAATAAAGGGCTTATTTTGTCAACAATAACAATACTTTTACATTGACGTCTATTAAGAAACGGAAAGAATTTATAAATGAAGAGCTAACTTTAGGCAGCTTTACAAATTCCATATGAAGTGCAAAATCCTATGGCTTATCTTCTAGTTGGTGCACTTCGTTAAGTAAGTTGGACATGTATGTCTAACTTACGAACAGAATAGCCATGGCAAATTTTATATTTTACCATTAATTATTTTACTAAAATCCATTAAAATTAAATGAAAAGTATGTGTACAAAAAGTGGAAACTAAATTAGGTAAACGACGCAGAAGCTGTCAACCTTTCAATTAAAGACACTCAGATAAAAAAACTCTCTGACAGCGTCAACATGACGTAATTATCGGACGTCTTTTTGACGTAGACTAACCGACTTATTAAATAGTTGCAATTATGACGTAATTTCTACAAATTTTAGCTACACCTATATAAAATTCTAGATCCGCCCCTGAAGATGAATATAATTTTCATAGAGATAGAAAACAAAATCAGTAGAAGAAATTAATCCTGTAGTAATAATGGTTAATACAAGTTAGATTTTATCTAATGTACGACAGAAACTAATTTTGTTACAATGGTTAACAAGTCAGCAATAGATTGATATAGTCAAAATCTGTATAGATCAAAAACGGATTCAGCATTTTATGGTCTTTTAGATAGCTAACCTCCGGACACAAAACAAGCTCTAAACAATTATTTGTTTAAACTTATGTCAAATAAGGATGCTTTGAAAAAAATTGCTCCTTAGTATGAGCTGACTTGTATCACTGAAGTGACAAGAAGAGTCTGGTCATTTAGTCAACATATGAACTAGAGAAAAAGTTTTTTTCATTTATTAATTTTATTACATAAACTACTAATTTCGGCTAAATAAACCTAGGGAAATGAGGGGAAAAATGAGACACTTAAGCTCTAATTTATCTAATACAGGTCGTCTAAGATCTTTTGAAAAAATAACTTGATATTTTTCAAATTTTCTATCATTCTACTATAACCTTAAAAATATGAGTTGCAAAATTGCAGTGGTTTGGTCACCAGAGATTTATTGACACCACCTATCATGTCTTATTTTTCTCCGCTAAGTTAGACAAAATGAGACAGATTTTTTTAATATATAATTTAAATAAATAATGATAAACAAAACAGATTTTTCCAAAGCTTAGCAAGATAAACATTTTATAATATAATACAGCTATTAATAATATCCCAGCAAACAATAGACGTCTTTTAGACCGTCTAAAATTGGTCTAATTTGTATCTATTGCCGATACGTATATTTTAGACGTATATTAGAGATCAAAAAGACGTCTAATTCTAGAGATACTATTTTTGCTCTGTTTTAGATGCATATTAGATGCATAAAATAGATCGTCTATAGATATTTTTTTTTTCATCTAAACTTAGATGTCTATAAGATGTCTTTTATAGATTTGTTATAAAAACAAGAAAAAAATTTAATTAATTTTACGGAGCGATAATTATAAATGACCGCCATTTAAAAACCCTGCGGAACCTTATTTCGAAAAAAGCATGTAGATTTTAACTAATGGAAGACATCAATGATTATTTCTTTATGATAAATTTTTAATAATAAAATAACAACCAATATATATATATATATATATATATATATATATATATATATATATATATATATATATATATATATATATAAATATATATATATATATATATATATATATATATATATATATATATATATATATATATATATATATATATATATATATATATATATATATATATATATATATATATATATATATATATATATATATATATATATATATATATATATATATATATATATTGTTTGTGCACTTATCGTTTTTATCGAGGAACCAAGATTCATTTATGTGTTTTACAAAAAGGGCATATGAAAAGAGACGCAGTAGACGTGTCCAAAAAGAATATTAAAAAATACTAGAATTTTCATCAGTACATATAGAAAAAAAATCGAATGTTGGAACTTCTAAAAGAAATGATTTCTTATCTTGCGAAAATCTAAAAGAATATTTTGACCATTATGAGTCATCGATTTTGTACTATGAATACTCTTATGACCAAAAGCCTAATGAGTATAAGCATAAGCCAACTTTAAAGGAAAGTTTTTCTGCATGTTATTCTAACCAAGTAATTATGCACTAAACAAGTGGATTGACAAAGAATAGCAACAAATTTATTGTCCCAAAAAAAAAACTATAATCATGCACTGAAAAACAACCTTTTGTCAACAAAAGAATGGCATAAATTTCCATTGATAAAGTGTAAGATAACAGATAGTCAGTATCTAACTTGTTTTGTGTTTTTTTTAAAGGTAACTTAATTACTTTTTTGTAGCAAAATGTTTTATAATTAGATTCATTTTCATGTTGTGAAGAATACAACTTTCTACATCAAATGAAATATATGTTAAAGAAAGCATCAAAAATAAGAATAACAAATCATACTGCTCTTCATTGCAAGAACCTCCGCCATCTATCATGAATAAGCCCAATGCTGAAAGTATAACACAAATATCATATTTTTTTTCTTAATGGTTTATAAACTGAAATAGATTCTGGTTTAATTTGATCTGAATAATATCTATCTAGCTATTAGTCTTTTTTATGTATTACTAAGATTTTCCTTTTATTTTAACTATTTGGGTGTCCTGTTATTTGCAATGTTGTTAAATTGGTTACATATATTTAAATGATTGACAACATTCTATTGTATTAAATAATCCTTTTATCAACTTGATATGAAATTTGAAAATTGATTGAAAGCATGCAGAAATTGTTTAAATTCAGAAATTGAAAGAGTACAAAATTGGTTGAAAGATTAAATTAAGTAACAGGTATGGTTGAGGGATTATTTATAGTTCTAATTATAATTATTTCTTTTGAATAGAGTTGTTATCAGATTCAAAGATTGAAGAAGATAATTTTTCTTCACATTTTATTGATGAACAGAATAAAACAAAACAAAGTTCACATTGTCAAAGAGTTTCAAGTTTTAATATGAGCATTTTTGGTTTTTACACCACTGAATGTTAATGTGGAGGTCTTTTTTATTAATTTGTTTTTGTATTAAAATAGTTGTATTATTTTAATACAAAAAAAGATAGGTATAAAAGAATAGAAATGGATTATTTATAACATTTTGATCCGATAAATCATGCTACACACATGATTTATCGGATCATTTTACCTTTAGTAGTTAAACAAAATTCTTTAATATCGTAACCTTTTACAGGATAAAGTTTTAGCTGATTTAAAAAGTAGGTTTTTCAAAATATTATGGCAACTTCTGCGATGGAGTAATAAAAAAAACTTACGTGTATTTTTGGAATTTTAGTTTGAGTTACTCAAGCATAATTTGAATTTTAAAGTTCTTATTTCATTGTTTTTGCTATATGGTTTTATGAGCTAAATATGTTAATCAATCTTTTTATTCTTGTTTATAGAGATGCAAAATGTTATTCTCAACGAGCTTGTAGAAATAAAAGTTCTTTTAAAAAAAGTTATAGAAATTAAGTTTTAGGCTACTGGGGTGAAGTTGCTAGAATCAGTGGACGAAGTGGTTACACTGGATAATAAACTAAAAGATAAAACCGAGTATACTAATTTGGTATAATCTAATTAGCTTAATTTTTAATAAGTTTGTTTAAATTTGGTCTACTAGTTTAGAATCTAAATGAAAAGTATTTGTAAATGAACTAAAATAACTAGCTTGTGTTAGACTCAATATGTTGTAAAGAAATTTAAGTTACACTAGTTTTTATTACATTTATTTCAGCTTGATAGTTTGAAAAAGATTGGTGGTGGAAAGCCTAGAGAACATGTTTTTTTGATCATGAAAAGGTAAATGATTATGTTTTTATTAATTATTAGAAATATGATTAAAAGAGACCAAAAGCAATTCATTTTGACCGTTATTTGTTATGGATTTATTTTTAACATGACAATTTGATAAACTCGGTAGCTTCACTGTAGGTGTTTAAGTTTGTTTGTGTGCTAAAGTAAGTGTAATGCTAAACCTTGTTTAGCATTTTATTTTCAAATTTAATGTTTTTACTTTTCATAATTTTAAGCATTCATATATTAAAATATATCTTAATTTATTACATATATTAAAATAAAAATCTTTATAAATATGTTTCAGTTTATTGTTAAAATATTTATCAGGTTATTTTCGAATCAGTTACAGTCCAAATTTAATCGAAAAGGAAATGGGGAAAAGATAAGCTTAGAAAATATAGTAAATATATAAAGTGTTTTACGAGGTATAGTTTTAATAGTATTTAAAAAACTGATATCTGTATTAAAAAGATATTCTTCGACTTTTTTTGTGTCATGCTAGAATTTTTGTATCCATAATACAAGTTCCTTTAGTTTTTTCATAGAAAAATTGATGTTTATTATTGTATCTAGTTGAGGTACAAATCTTCTTGTATATATATATATATATATATATATACAAGTATATATATATATATATATATATATATATATATATATATATATATATATATATATATATATATATTTATATATATATATATATATATATATATATATATATATATATATATAATATATATAATATATATAAATATATATATGTATATATATATATATATATATATATATATATATATATATATATATATATATATATATATATATACATGTATATATGTGTATATACAGTATTGGACAAAACATTTGCAACCAACATCGAACAATGCTAAAAAGTGTTCCTAATTTTATGTCTTAAAAAAATGAAACGAAACTATACTACCACCTGGTTTTGTCCGATACTGTATGTATTATATATATATATATATATATATATATATAATATATATATATAATTATATATATATATATATATATATATATATATAATATATATATATATATAATATATATATATATATATATATATATATATATATATATATATATATATATATATATATATATATATATATATAACATTTCATAAAAATAGATTCAGAATTCTACATGTCTTTTGAAGTCATTTAAATATCATTAATGTATATATTTTAGATATCGGCGACGTGGAAGAAAATGTTGACGGCAATGCAGAAATATAGTTTCTTATGTATATTTTTGTGAAATAAAAATTAATTAATGTTAGTTAAAATGTTTCTTTACTTATCTAATTTAATCTTTTTTTATGACTAATTTAACTGCTGTAACACCTTTGTATCAAACAAGTCCCAGCAAACAAAAAGATATTTAAAATGCATCTAATATGCATCTAAAAACTGGTCTAAAAGACGTCTAAATTCACGTCGTGAACGGGACATAAATAGATGTGAAATATACATTTAAAGATGTATATTAGATGTATATTAGATGCATAAAAGAGCTATTATTAGCTAAAAAGTTACCTATTATCTATCTTTTTTAAACGCGCCTTAGACATCTATTTAAGAGACGTATTTTATACATCTAATATGCATCTGTAAGATGTATATTTCACATCTTTTATGCATCTAAGGCAATTATTTGTGTCGAATAAAATGCATCTAAAAGACGTCTATAAGATAGACGTCTATTTATGTCCCGTTCTAGACCTGAATTTAGACATCTTTTAGACCAGTTTTTAGATGCATATTAGATGCATTTTAGATATCTTTTTGTTTGCTGGGATATAACATAAAATTAAAAAAATCAAACTGTCACTAGTAATCATAATGCTTCACCCGTGTTAACAGAAATTAACATCACATAATGCTTTACCAGTATTAACAGATATTAACAATCGTCTGAATGAGCCCAATTTGCACATTTTAAACATTGACTCTACTTCAATACTTTTGCAGCCATACTCCATTATCCATTACAAAAACATTTCCAGCTTTCAACACTTTTAACTCTTTTTTTTTTGCCCTTTCCTAATTCACATTTAATTTTTATTTCTTGTTCTTTTAACTTTTTTGATTTCAAAGGATTCATATAGTGATTTTTTATAATGTGCAAAGGATCCAATATAGAGAAAAAACGGAATTGAGAGAAATCGAGAAAAAACTCCGTCGTAGTCAAGAAAAAATAGTTAAAATATATTAACTAGTATCACTTACACATAATATTTTAAAAGTTACTGTTTACTATATCTTTGTTTAAAAAGTAAAAAATTCTTGCTTTTTTTGACAAAAAAAATATATTTTATTATATATTACATTATTATATACATATTAATCATATTAAATTTATGTAATTATAGTTCATATTAAATTTTATTATACCGCAAATCCTTGTAATTCAGTTTTATCAGGTTTATGTAAATTGGCGTTAGAGCTTTTGTCATTATTAAACTTAATGTCTAGAATTATATCCCGACACAAATTTTCGTCATATTATCAATAATTTATTTATATATATAAATTTTGTTTGAATTAAGATTTGACAGGAGCTGGTAGAAGACAAAAGTCTTATCATCTAGCCTCATTGTATCATTTACATAATATACAAAAAAATAATAATCCATCACATTAGGAAATAAAAAAAATTTAAGATACTTTTAAAAGTTTGGATTGAAGTTGTAGTTTTATGATTATTTGGGAGAAATGATTTCCAAGTTACTGAGAATTCAGATTGTTTTAACAAAGTTTTTGGTACCTGATAATTAGGCAATGAATGCTTCGTTTGATATTTATGGTTTATAATAAAGATATTTATTTGGTAAACATTCATTACTCCAAGCTTACGAAGCAGTGGATTGGTACTGGTGTATTTATTGGCTATTAATAAAGGACGGCTTGCTTATTTTTGTTTTTTTAAAATACAAGTTTGTCTTGACGGATAAGCGCTTGCCAAAGCAATGTTACAATAACTAATATAGCTCTGAATAAATGAAAAGTAAATAGATTTTTAACAGTTTATATATAGATTCCCACTAAAAAATGTAGCGTTGATTTGATGTTGATTCAATGTTTCTTGTCAACATTGATTCGATATTGATTTTTTGTTCAAAATATTAGCCACTTATCAACGTTGATTTAGTGTTTACAAATATATATATATATATATATATATATATATATATATATATATATATATATATATATATATATATATATATATATATATATATATATATATATATATATATATGAACATATATATATATATATGTATATATATATATATATATATGTATATATATATATATATATATATATATATATATATATATATATATATATATATATATATATATATATATATATATATATATATATATAATGAAAGAAAGTAGGCATTAGTAAAATAGCTTTTTAATAAATTTAACACAAAATTTACAATTTCAAACAATTTTTTGAGCGTTTGCAGCATTATTCGTTTTTATAACTTTTCGATTGAGTCGCGTTCCTGATTGTTTTAAAAAATCTGAAATGCCTGAATGACAATCACAAATTTTTGAATCATGATGCTGTCGTGTAATCGCATTTAAATCAAAAATTTAAATCAAATTTGATAAAAATCGAAATGCAAAAATTATAGCAAAATAGTTGCATAAATGACTGACTGGGATAAACAAAATATATTTCCTGTAAAAAAAAAAATCTAATAAAATGCTTAAAACCATTCTTACCCACTATCATATGATACAGGGTGTATATTTTAAAATTTGTTTTCAATGAACCACCAGAGACATTAATACAGGCCCGAGCGTCCTCACTCATCAATAACTTTCCAATAGAAAAAGCCGATTTATATGGAGTGTTACCTCTACAACGACTAAGAGAAGTCATCTATTTTTCGCAAAATACGTCACACATTTTGGGGAACGGTGGTCATTGATTTTGTCTCACTTTGAGTGGGAAGAAGGCAAATATATTGTGACCTCGCAATTAATTTTAAAAACTGCATAAAAAAAAAATTTTAAAATACTTTTGCGACTTTTTAAAAAAACAAATAATTGTTTAACAAAAACACGCAAAAATTAGGTGACGTGAAAAGGAGAAGAAATATGATAACTTGTGACACTTTCTGACTAAGGGGGAAGGAGGGGGTATAAAAGTTGTATTGCGTGACGATTTTTGCAAGTGAACCCTTATGTTTTATTTAAAATAAAAATATATATATATAACATTGAAACTCATATTATTAACTTTTATTTCATAACAATTATGTTGTTATCAGCAGCAACTTACCACTCTATTCTTAAAAACATTGCTAGCTTTGACTTTTTCTTTTAGTAAATCCACATCAAATTTTAGAAGGCATCTTTCAAAAATAGGTTCTGTAGATAAAGAACTAGCGCTCACTGTTGATATTGGCTGCTGTAGCAATAACTTATCTATCTACAAAATGTAAAATAATCTTGAATTACTTATTTTTAACATTACGCAACAAATGCAAAGCTTCTCTAAATCCAAAATTTAACCATTGAATAGAATATCGAATCAATTATACTATATATTTGCGAAACAAATTGAGTCTTAAAAAAAAGATTAGTTTAAAAATAGCACAATTTTTAAACTAATCTTTTTTTTAAATAAGATGTCACTGTTTGAGATTAGAGACTTAGGGTAATTATTTACTGCTGCCCCTCTATTATAAGACCTTACTTTATAAATTGCAGTATAGTAATCTATCATTTCCGGAAATTATCATTTCCGGAAAACATGAGTTGGGCCAACTAAGATTTCATAACATAGCTCAGTGCTTGGTAGTTGAAATTTGGAACACTTAACCCTAAATGCCCATTCTATCAGATTCCTGCATCATCCTAGAGATTTTTTTACAAAAAAACTGTTTTTAAAGCATTTATATTTTTTAATTAATCGTTTTTAAATGCAAAACGTAACTTTTTTGATGGATGACGTAAGTTAATGAAATTTCAACCTTTTATGCAAATGAAAATAAAAAAAATATTTTATATGCGTTCAGCTATGTTATGAAATATGTTTCAAAAATGTCATGTTTTACAACTAATCTTGTTAGTTTAAGGTGAACATTTGTGTTGACGTTTTTTTGCAATGACGTAACCTTTATGCGTTACGTCCCAAACTATTTATTAACGAATATTCTCCAAACAACTGTGTTGGCGAGTCAATTTTTGAAGTATAAAGTAAACAAAGTTACGCGGAATTTTTCTTTTTGGATTATCAAACTAATATCAGATAAATTGTTAAATCCACTTTTATGTAGTGTATATATTTGTTAATTAGTATTATGTTATTTGTTTTTGTTATATTGATTAATAAGTCAATATTATTTTGATAACTATGTATTCAACTGAGAGGAAAATTCTAAAACAACATATTGGATGGAAAAATGGTTGGGAAGATAGGTGTAACTTTCCTTTTGTTAAGCGATTAATTAGGACAGATAAGATCAGTAACAATGTCATTTCCATTTTAATGACAGTCTTTAAAATAAGAAGTGATTTATTTAGTTTTAAGAGTTTTCTTTTGCCAATTGATTTTGATATGCCTAGTAATGACGAGTTTGATAAAATGTGCCTAAATTTAACACGACAAAAAAAGAAATATAAAAAAAATTTTAAAGCTATAAAAAACGAAGAATTTTTTAAAGTGCAACTGTCGCAAGCTCAACCCAAAAAAAAAAATTCAGCAGATGCAGATGACTTTTTCACTTTAAATAACAGTCAGGAGCTACTGAATCAAATTGATCAATTAACTTCTGAAAATAAAACCAATATGGAGAAAATAGAAAAATTTAAAATGCAAGTATTTAAGTTCGAAGCTGAAATTACAGATTTAAATTCTAAAAATAGGGCTCTCAACACACATTGTAACTCATTAAGTTCTCAAATAGAGACTATGAGTATTAGGCTAAAACAGGAGTAGCAGTTCCAACTTTTTTAAAAAAAAAAATTAAAACAGCACAGCGTAAATTTGCATCTGCTCATGCCAAAAATGTAAGATTGCTAAAAAAAATTAATATTGAAAAAAGAATTGCAAAAATTAGTGATTTAAGCCAGAACAGTTGCCAAATTTGCAAATGTTTTGCTAGTAGCGATAAGGATTTAGTTGTGGTTGATTCTTATTTATATATATATATATATATATATATATATATATATATATATATATATATATATATATATATATATGTATATATATATATATATATATATATATATATATATATATATACAT